GCTTGGTAGCAAGAAAAGAACTCATCTATTGTCATCGCTGCTCCCTTGGTCGCCCATGGCCATGCGATCGTGTAGGCCAGTAATATTTTCCACACATTGGGTATGAGCTGACCTGGCGCCACCTCCAACCGATTCAGCACATCCACCACTATTTGTGGGAGCGGCAGCCTCAGACCGCCCCGCAACGCCTCCTCGTACAGTGTGAACTCCATCGGACGCGCATTCGACGCCCTCTCCTTGGCCGTCGGCAACTTCAACTCTGTCTATGCCGGAATCTAGTCCTTCTTACGCACCTCCTCTAACTCCTCTACTGTAAACGTCGACTTATTAGCCTTGGTGTGCCAGTGGTCAGGTCCCACATGGCTAATCGACCTCGCGGTCATGATCATGGTGGACGGACGAGGTCGCACTGCTTGCTCCACCCATCTCTTCTCATGCCTTTCCATCCTATATTGCTCCTCCAAATCCACTATGTCGTCTTCACCCAATGCCTCTAACTTCATGGCTGTCACTTCGTTTCGAGCCATCTCTTTTACGTTTTTGTATATTGTTTCGGACGCAGGTGCGAGGAAGTTTGCAAACTGTTGGAGGGGAGTGTCAAAAGAAACGAATAAGATCAGGTCTGGGATGTGTTGGTTTCTCGCAATGAGATATGTAAAACGGATAACTCCAAAAACCCATGGTTTGCCTATTTGCCAAGGATCAAGGTTAAAATTCGCCAGTTTGAAAATTTCAAAAATTTTACAACCCCTACTTTTTCCACGTCCAATCCTAGTCGTAACCTTTCGCTTCCTACTAATGTATCACTTCCCTCACCATTGGTTTAGATCTTACCAGGTGTACAACCACGATTCCCTCCTTTTCCTCTTCCCCGCCTATTTCACTTCACATCATCACGTGCCTCATCACTTCTCGAGCCTCGTGCGCCGCCACCACCTCTCGCTCGACCCCTTTTCACGGTCGGCCCATCTCTCGGTCGCTCTCTACGTTTGACCCTCCTTTACGATCGACCCACATCTCGGTGGGTCTTCTCGCTCGACTCCTTTTCGCGATCGACCCATCTTTCGGTCGGTCTCCGCGCTTGACCACCCTTCGCGGTTGGCCCACTTTTCGGTCGGTCTTCTCGCTCGATCCCCTTTCGTGGTCGGCCCATCTCTCGGTCGGTCTCCACTCTCGACCCCTCTTTGTGGTCGACTCTCCTCTCGGTCGGTCCTCGTGCTCGGCCCCACACACTTCCCATCTTCTTTCTTATTCCTTTCGTTGGACTAAAGCTGTACTTGGGAATGGGGGACTATTGACATCGGTGGGCCCACAGAAGCTTTTGGCCCACCACTTAGAGCCCAATTCACGGTTCAAACACTAAAGCCCAACACCATTGAAAACCCAACACTACACCAGGAACCAATGACATCTAAGCACTTGTCAAGAAGGGAACCAGCCACGTAAGCAGACAAAGATCCTGCAAAGTTATTGCACCACACATCAACCATTAATGAGACTCCTGCAGCGTTAAATGCGATAACCCCTTCATGTCGGAACGGGTAGCCTCACTGTGAATAATGCAAGTTAGAGTATAGACTTTCGGCCAACACGATAGGTCGGAGTGGACAAAGAAACGATAGACAAAGGATATAAGAAGGTTTCCAAGACACATCAAAGGTTAAATTCTCTATTGTTATTCTCTCCCTATCTCTACTCCATCAATCTCCTCTCTTGTAACTTGATCGTCGGAGGGTCCACTGGGGGACTCTTGTTCCCCGTTGGATATTTTTCCAGGCACACCAGCGAACTCAGTAACTGGTGAGAAGTGCAGGAAGTGTGGGTCAGCCCAACTCACCCTCCTTTGAATCAACAACATCATCAACTGTTAATTAACTTAATGATTTATTAATAAAAGAATCTATTTGTTATGAAATTAGAAACCTTAAAGGACATAATATAATTTTTAGAACTACATGGAATAATTTATAATTTAAATAAACCTCAAAGGGTGTGTTTGTAATTTACTCTACATTTTATTATAGTAGACAAATTATAATATTTCATTGAATTTTTTTTCGATTATTAGATAATTTCTGCAATTTCAGATGGGGCTTTATCGTCTTTCCAACATACCTCTGTTGCCCAATTTGGAATTTAACAATGATACATTTCCTAATATTAGACTTCTAATTGAGCTCTAATGATGTGAAAATTTAAAAACAAAAAATAAAGGTCAAAATATCATATCAATGAATGAGATCCACCCTTAGAGTTCATATTTCAGAACTCCTAAACATTTTTCTTAGAATTTTATTTCCATTTTTCAACACTCTAGCACGGGGGCTTTTCCCATATTAGGCCTCTTTTACATCTTATTTCCCAAACTAGGCCTAGTTTTGACGGATTTCCCAAACTAGGCTAAAGCGTTATTACAAATCGCGCTTTCACTGTTTGGAGTCCAAAATTTGATGAATAGTAAAAGCGCTATTGAGAAACGCACTTTTAATTAAGAAATTGTTATTCCAAATCGTGCTTTTAGTATAAAAAAATTTTTCTGAAGAAAACGCTATTTGAAATCGCGTTTTCACTGTGCGTATAATTTTTTTTTTTTTTTTTTGAAAACGTTATTTGTTACAACACAAACCAAAACCAGAACCAACCCACACTCTCACTCTGACATAGGCACACACCCACACACACTGAAGCATTGAAATAATATAATTTTTATATATAATAATAATTTATAATAATCAATTATATAATTTTTATAATTTTCATAAATATAAATCATTTTTAGGTTATAGATGGTTTGATTTATAATACGTATGTAAGGGTAAAAATTTTTATAATCAAAAATAATTTTTACAATTTTTATAATCAAAAATAATTTATAAATTACCAAAAATAATTTATAATACGTATGTATTATAAAAAATTTTATAATAATTTATAATACATATGTATTTACTTTAAATAAATTATATATAATACGTATGTATTATATATATAATTTTTATATATTTACTTTAAATAAATTATTTTTGATACGTATGTATTATATATATCATTTTTATATAATTATATATTGAGCCTGTGTTTGGCAAGTGGGTTTGCAGGCCTTTTTAGCTATTTTAGCCACAAAAAACAAAATAGGCTATTTTAGACATAACAAACAAAACATCACATCCAACCCATAATCATTACATTCTTCTCTCACAAAAAAACTCAAAAAAAGCCAAAAAGTCCTTCCCAAACCAAGCTTTTAAGCCCAGGCTAAAATAGCCAAAAAAGCCAAAAAGCTAACCCACTTCCCAAACGGAGGCTCCAAGCCTTAATTATATAAAATTTACCACCATCTTTAGATTTACTTAAAATTTAGATATCATTTTGTCATAATTTTTTATGTAACAGAAATAAAAAAAAAATAAAAAAAGTGAAATTTTTAACAATTTTTCTATGTGACAATTGTTAATTTAAAAATATTTTTGACATTATTAAAAACTATTAATTGATTTAATAATTTATTAATAAAATAGGTCATTCGTTATGCGATTAGAAATTTGAAGGAGCGGGATATAATTTCTAAAATTACAATAGTTTATATATATTTTAAGTAAATCTCATAGAATGTATTTGTAATTTATCCAAAAGAAAATAATAAAACTGCCCCAAAGAGCATATCACTTTCTTTTCATTTCTTTTTAACAAAAATTCTAGATACCTCAAAATGAATTACCAAATATTTTAATATTAATTACACTAAGACCCTCTCAACTATTGGCGAATATCATTTTATTCCTTTTATTTATGAACCTATACAGATTTAAATACATACGTATTATAAATTATTACAACAAATTTTATAATACATACGTATTATAAATTATTTTTGATTATAAAAATTTTTACCCTTACATACGTATTATAAATCAAACCATCTATAACCTAAAAATGATTTATATTTACGAAAATTATAAAAATTATATAATTGATTATTATAAATTATTATTATATATATAAATTATATTATTTCAATGCTTCAGTGTGTGTGCGCGCGCCTATGTCAGAGTGAGAGCGTGGATTGGTTTTGGTTTTGGTTTGTGTTGCAATAGTAAAAACGTTATTTGAAATAACATTTTCTAAAAAAAAAAAAAATTTTATACGCACAGTGAAAGCGCGTTTTCAAATAGCGTTTTCTTCAGAAAAAAAATTTTATACTAAAAGCGCGATTTGAAATAGTGATTTATTAATTAAAAGTGCGTTTTGCAATAGCGCTTTCACTATTCATCAAATTTTGGGCTCCAAACAGTGAAAGCGCGATTTGTAATAGCGTTTTAGCTTAGTTTGGGAAATCCGTCCAGATTAGGCCTAATTTGAGAAATAAGATGTAAAAAAGATTTAATATGGGAAAAGCCCCCTCTAGCACGAGTTATGTTAGGAATCTCAAATAAATAATCAAATTTTCTATCAAATCGATGATTTGTATGGATCACACGCCATGTGGGCGGTTGGATAAAAAATTTAGCCTCCGTTTAGGAAGTGGGTTGGCTTTTTGGATTTTTGGCTTTTTTAGCAATTTTAGCCTGGGCTTAAAAGCTTGGTTTGGGAAAGGCTTTTTGACTTTTTTGAGTTTTTTTATGAGAGAATAATGTAATGATTATGAGTTGGATGTGATGTTTTGTTTGTTATGACTAAAATAGTCTATTTTATTTTTTATGGCTAAAATAGCAAAAAAAATCGGCAAACTCACTTGCCAAACACAGGCTTTTATTTAGATCCATAGCCCGCCGTTCTTATTTTTTGCTAACTTACGCGAGGTGCGAAATGCGCACCCAACGACGTTTAGTCTTCCGTGTCGGTATTCTGGGATCGCTGACCATGACGTGTACTCGATGCAGAAAAGGTGCGCATTCACGCGTGGTGCGCCATCTAGCCACTCCCGCTTATTTTATTTTTTTCAATTACCAACCGCTTTCTGCCTCCCCATCTCCTCATTGGCGCGCTCTCTCTCTCTCTCTCTCTCTCTCTCTCTCTCTCTAGATATATATTTGTTTATGTTATCTACATGTGCACTTGTTGTGTGTGTATATGTATCTGTGGAAGTGCCTTTCTCAAGTCTCTTAGGATCTCCAAACTCTTTTCTTGATTGAATGAGATTGAGATTTTGAATTTGAATATACGTTTATGCATTTGAACTTGGCTCTGAAGCGCTCATTCACATGAGATTTGAGCTGTGGAAGGTTTGTCAAGTTCGTGTATGTATGTATGTACGTACAAAGCAGCTTCCGATTCCGATCAGAAATTTTTGTTCAATAAAAGTTTTGAATTCATTGTATTGGAAGTTGACTTGAAGAAGTGAGTTTTTTCAACGTTTGAATGTGTTGTTGTTGAGAGAAATGCACTGTTCAATGTTTGATTTCTTCGACTCGATGATCTGCAGAAATTTGCAGAGACTGTACGGTCAATTAGGATTTGATTTGTTGTTCTTTACGTGAGGAGTTGAAGTTGTCGAAATTTGTTAGAGAGAGAAAGCAAAGGGAAGGAGAGAGAGAGAGAGAAGCGAAGCGTGTGGGTGAGATTGTTGTTCACGTGCAGCTTGTGAAAATGCCGCACAGAACGACTTACTTCTTTCCAAGGCAATTTCCGGACCGTGGATTCGATGCATCGTCAAAAGCATTTATAGATCACGAGAAGACAATCTCCAAAGAGAGCTTTATTAATGGGGAAAGCGACAGAAAATCGTCAAAGATCTCAAAGGAGGTCATAGTCGGAGGCAGGAAGCAGAGCTCAACTGTATCGGATTATCTCACGGGCGACACGATTCACGGAAAACAATTGGCTGCTTTTGTCAATTGGTTGAGTGAGAAAAAGGGAGAGAGGTTCGGTCACGTGAAGTTAAAATTGGACGGCGGCGATGACGATGAGGATCACGAACAACACCCGCTCTTGCTTCAACCTCCGCCGCCGCCGCCGGAACCGGTTGTTGCCGGTAATGACCGGAGTTTTCCGGAGGTGGATGGTGGTGCAGCCGGTAGAGGACGGGGATTTGACCGGCAGGTGTCGTTGCAGAGGTTGTCGAGTGGGAGTAGTTATGGTGGTGGTGCGGCGGCTGAGGTGGTGGTTGGTGGTGGCGGTAGAGAACGGGGGTTTGAGAGGAAGACGACGTCGTTGCAGAGGTTGTCGAGTGGGAGTAGCTATGCTGGGAGTCTGTTTTCGGGGACGACATTGGATGGGAATTTGTCGAGCGGTGGTGTGAAGTATTCTCAGTTCTCGACAACAAGGGAGGAAGAGGAGGAGGAAGAGAGTAGAGAGAGTTTGGCTAGTAAGTCTCGAGAAAGCTATTATTTACAGCTCACATTAGCTAAACGCCTCTCCGAGCAAGCGTCGCTTGCCAGTGACCCCCTCCTCTTTCAACTGTGTGGGGCGGATAGTCTCATTGTATCTCCTGATGCAGAAACTGTTTCGTATAGACTCTGGGTACAATATCTATCCATTTTTCAAACTTAATTATGTGCTAATCTATTAAAATTAACAATATCTATTCATTTTTCAACCTTAATGGTGTGCTAGTCTATTAGAATATCATGATTTTCCATAGTCAGGGGCAAATCCAAGATTATCAGTATGAAATGGGATGCGAAAGTATGTTTAGAGTTCCTAATCCTTATAAATTTTAATTATTTTAAAAATTTTAGTATAATATACAATACGTTTTAAATTTTTGGGGTGCAGTCACCCCCTCCACACACCCCCTAGATCCATCCTTGATTGTAGTTGAAGCTAAGCTTGGGCATCGCTGGCCAAAAATTTGGTTTATGGGTCATTTTAGTTAAGGAGTATGCTGTTTACTTGCATTTATCTTTGCCTAATCAATAAATGCTCCACTTTTCAGGTTAATGGTTGCTTGTCATATACTGATAAGATCTCAGATGGATTCTACAACATTTTGGGAATGAATCCGTATCTGTGGGTGATGTGCAATGACTTGGAGGAAGGTAAACGGATACCATCTCTGATGGCACTTAAAGCTGTTGAACCCAGTGATGCATCAATGGAGGTTGTTATTGTTGATAGATATGGCGACACTCGTCTTAAGGAGCTAGAAGATAAAGCACAGGAACTGTATTTTGCAACAGAAAATACCTTGGTGTTGGTGGAAAAGCTAGGCAAACTTGTTGCTATATATATGGGGTAAGTGTCAACATTTTTCTTAGGTTTACTGCTTGAGCCTTTGTCTCTTTCCTTGTAAAGACGGGTTTGAGTGTGTTGGAATTTAAGGGGCACTTTTCCAGTGGAGCAAGGTGATCTGCACGTGCGCTGGAAATTGGTTAGCCAGAGATTGAGGGATTTTCAGAAATGCATTGTGCTTCCCATTGGCAGCCTCTCTACAGGACTGTGTAGGCATCGCGCTATTCTTTTCAAGGTGATGACATACACTATACATCTTTTTCATTTAGGAGAGGGAAAATAAAAATAAAAAAACCTGGATTTCTCTTTCTCCATGTTAAATTATTTTTGGTAGGACCAAGTTTAGAATACAAGATGTATAACTTTGTATTCTTATTCTTTCCATTTTATATCTTTGTTTGATTCACAGTTCATTTTGTTTGATTCGTATTTTATGAAACTAACCCTTATTATTTATAATTGGAAGGATAATTCCATCCATCTTGTGTAGATCTTCTCTTCTAAATACTTTTTAATGTCGAGATAGTGCAGCAGAATGACATGCTATTCTTCACATTGAAATTAATAGAACTTCAAAAGAAGGTGAAGCAGATAGAATTTATTGTGAAATACTAGGAATGTACTTCCGGTGTGTTTCTTTATTTTGCTCCTTGTTCTTTTCAAAATTTCCAGAGCTTAGCTATGAAAGTTGTAGTCAATGTATCAGATTGAGTGCATAAATTGATCTCCAGCCAGTTATGCTGCACACAATATTTCTGCCTCTTAATGTATATATAAGTGATGGACGTGCAGGCGGGTGGGCTTGCAGATGCTGGCTGGATAATCTTTTGTTTGTTCGTGTTCGCATAAGTGTATTGCCTCTGATAATCCCAATATGCAGACGGAAAGAAATCAGTAAACTAACAGATGATTTCTTTTCAATTGCAGAAATTGGCAGACTACATAGGTCTGCCTTGCCGAATAGCTCGAGGTTGCAAGTACTGTGTTGCAGACCATCGGTCTTCTTGTCTCATTCAAATTGAGGATGACGGGAAACTTCCTAGGTAACATATTTTTTTTCCAGGCTTTTAGGCTTTACAATATCCTCCATTAACTACTATTCGAGTACAATTGCTAAGGTGATGTTTCTACTTGTTTTTTGATTTTTATGTTGCACTAACCTTGAAGTGCTGCATGACACTTGGTCAAAAAAACCAAGTCTGATATATGTGTTAGCTTATACCATAATAGATTTTGCTTCTAGTTTCATGATGGCATTAGAATCCTGAATAAGTTGATTAGAGGATGATCACTGACCTGAAAGTTGTTACATTATACAATAATGTCTTTTGTATGGGGTGGTACTGATGCCTCGGATATTAGAATGCATATGCCATCAGTGATAGAAATAGGATCCACAAAGTCCTTGACCAAACAGTTCTTTTATTATGTATCTCTTATTTTCATTCATTGGTGTTTATAGACGCATATATTTCTTAACAGGGAATATGTAGTTGATCTAGTTGGGGAACCAGGAAATGTCCATGGTCCAGATTCCTCAATCAATGGAGCTGGACTTTCCTCAGTGCCTTCACCATTTCAGATTTCACATCTAAAAGAGTTTCAACAACCTTACATAGATAACGCATCACATTGTCAGATCTCAAACTCAAAGCACACATGTGCCCCTTCTGAAAATCCTCTACATTCAGGTAAGTCATATTTGCATACCTTGGGGCTTGTCATTCAAATTCTTTCTGCATCACAGCATCACTGGCTGATGGCAGGATGAATCATTCAGGGTGAAGATATAAGGGTACCTTGAGATGTTCAGATTCAGATAACATAGTTTGCATATTAGAAAAATTAAGGGACCAATGTGCCAGGAACAAAATCTCTGGCACTGTATATGACTCAGTTGAAGAATGGTTTAGCAACTGCAAATTAGATAACATGATGTACCTTATACGTTTACTTATCACATGTCTGGGTATTATTTATTAAAAAGTTTGTGTGAATTTTTTATTTTATTTTTTATAGCTTTCTAATGCAAATTCCCATAGCTCAGATTTTCTGTTCCATATTTGCAATTTTTATTCTATTGGATACACCAGAATACTAGTCTTTGATTAACTCTAGAAAAATGGATGTGCTAGAGTTGTTTTGTTGATTTCATGGCCATCTAAAGAAGCTTGTTGACCATTCTTTATAGTATGCAGCTCTGGCAAAAAAATTAACTGGATCCAGAGTGATGCTGATTTCACCAAATTCACTTTTGAGTCTGAACTTTTACAGGCATTGGGCAAGTTCATCCAAAGGAGGATATTGGCTTGCATAAAAATCTGAGAGAGACCATGTATAGTCCAAGTGATCAAGGTTGTGGAGGAAGTGAATCACCTGAACGTCTGGATGTTGGTGCTGCTGGAATATCAAGAGAGGAATATTCTAGGCCTGGTGGAGAGAACGTAGTCAGACAACACGCTTGGAGAAAAGAAATTTTTGTATCTGGAAGTCCAAGTATAAATACTCCTCTCAAACAACCTAAAGTAAACTTACCTTGTCCATCGGATCTCATGGAGGTCAAGAGTGAACTTGAAAATCAAGGCATATTTCCCAAAATTACTGTCCCAAGATATTTAAACCTTGAGCCTTCTCTTGCAATGGATTGGCTTGAGATCTCGTGGGATGACTTACACATCAAAGAGCGCATCGGTGCTGGTACTTTTTGCTAACTATCTATTTCCAGAAAGGTTTTCTTGAGGTTTTTAAATATTATTTGGAAGCAATTGTGGGAGGTAAAATACTCTTTGTTCCTCTTGCAGGTTCTTTTGGGACAGTGCATCGTGCTGAATGGCATGGATCGGTTAGTATTTGGACCTTGTTATTTCTCCATTGATTACCTAATCCTGTTAATGCAAGTATGATGCTACATTCATGGTCATATTTTATTATAAAAGTTGATGGATACTAAATACTTTTAATTGGGTGATATTCTAGTAATGTTTAGGAGAATTCTACAATATACACCTCATACCATATGTACCATTAGTTACACCATTTACTTATTTAGTTATGACATTATTTTGAGATGTTTAGTTATGTCTCATGGGCCCCGTTTGTTTTGGGTTATATGGAGGGAATTGGGATTCATAGTAAGGTGAGACCCACTAATATCATGTTTGTTTTGAGAGATGGAAAGGAGATTCGTAATCCCCTTCGGACTACGAATCTCCATGGGGAGGGGATTAGATAGGCCCGTGAGCCTTGGTATTAGAAATTAGACCGCCGAACTATTTTTTTTTTATTTAATTTTTTTTTTTACATGTTGGGCATTTTTTTTTAACATTAATATTTAATTTTTTGTATTTTTTGTTAAGTAAAAATCATTCTTTTATTTGTTTTATTTTTTTCTGGATTTTTTTAAATTTTTTTTTTTACATGTTGGGCATTTTTTTTTTGAACATTAATGTTTAATGTTTTTGTATTTTTTTATTTGTTTTATTATTTTATATAAAAATAATTTAACAATCCCTACACCAACAACTATCATCAAAACAAATACAATTTTACTTAATCCACTCACTATCAATCCCTTCACTATGAATCCCCTCAATTCTATCTCTGAAAACAAACGGAAGCATGTAATGTTTGATTATAAGTATGAAGTTATATTATTTTCTTCTTTAGTTATAAGGTGCATATGTATGTTTATCATCCATCAATTCATAATCCAGAATGCAATTCAATCATTTTGAAATGGTGTTTCATTTTTTAGCCCTCATATAATACAACCCTTTATTTCAGCATTAGAGATCACACTGCATAATTCAATACGAGCTGTACATAGTTAAGAAAAGCTTGCTTCAAATTGACATCATCAATGCTATTGAGGGCGTAGAAGCGTTTAGACATGCGCTCTTAATGCATTTCTACATCTTTCCTCTTGAAAGAACAACTGTTGAGATATTCTTCTCTGGCTTGAGAGGTGTAAGGATCCCAGGCACCTAGAAATTCAGTATGAATGTGTGCAATAAGGGCATCGACATTAGGAGTTTGTCTGATTGGCACAATGAGAAAGCAATTAATAGTGGTATGGAACTGTTGCATACAAAATCAAATTGACTCTCAGTTGTTTATGGTTTAGTAATTTATCAGGTACAACAAAAGTGAGTAATGGATATTATTGAGTCCTATTGAGAAACTCCAGACAGAAATTCTGTCCAAATTTGGTATTGGTCTTGATTGTTGCACCGTATTCACTCTTCCTTAAGAAAAATATATTGCATGCTACAGGATGTTGCAGTCAAGGTTCTAACAGTCCAAGATTTTTGTGATGATCAGTTGAAGGAATTCCTGAGGGAGGTATGTATATAGTAGACTGAACACTCCTCTGCTTCCCAAGACACTATTAAGAGTATCTGCTCTGTTATTAGATAGGTGTTGACTGAATTAGAACTTCCATCTGAAGTGCTAGATTTGTGCATGTGGTTTCATATATCAACATATTTTTTGAGCCATAAATTGAATCCATTTATTTCCAAAACGCAAGTGTTCAGTGCCTTTCTTGTTTATCTGTAGCTTAAGTTGTAGTTGACTTTTTTTAGGTTGCGATAATGAAGCGCGTTCGTCATCCTAATGTTGTGCTCTTCATGGGTGCGGTTACACAACGGCCACATTTGTCAATCGTGACAGAATATCTACCAAGGTAAAGACATTTTTTAGTTCCTAATGCATTGTCCCACAGTCTTGATGGCTGTGCCACTGCCATCCTTCTCACATGGGTTGGTACTGCAACGAGAGAGGGGTTGCTGGACGCAGTCAAAATTGTTGTGAATTTAGCAATTTGCTTCCTGAATTATTTTATTATTTGAACTACTTCTATCTAAAGCAGGTGATGGAAGGCTAACTTTGCACAAATCCTGATTTTGTGGAACAGGGGTAGTCTATACCGCCTCATCCATAGGGCAGATGCTGGTGAAGTTTTGGACCAAAGGAGGCGCTTACGCATGGCTCTGGATGTGGTTTGTAGTGGGCTTTACTGTTATGAACCTTTTCTATTGTTAACACTTGCTGTTGTATTATTAATTTATGATATTGCACTCAATGCAGGCCAAGGGTATTAACTATCTTCATTGTCTTAGCCCTCCGGTAGTTCACTGGGATCTTAAATCTCCAAATCTGTTGGTTGATAAAAATTGGACGGTGAAGGTACATCTATGAATGTTATAATCTTTTCCCTGTTGCTAGTCAAACAACAAACTTAAGCTTTATCTTATACATTATGCTCAGGTATGTGATTTTGGGTTGTCCAGATTCAAAGCAAACACTTTCATATCTTCAAAATCTGTTGCTGGAACAGTAAGTCTCTCTCTCTCTCTCTCTCTGAGCATAAAGTTATATTATTGGACCAGAACATAAAATAAAACTTACTGATGAGAATGCTAATCATGCCTACTGACTTGAGCTGAACCTCCATCCCAAACTCTGTATTTAGGTGTCCCTGATTCTTGATTCATGAGCAAATTTCTACATGCTTCTGATGCTAAATTGAAAAAGTGCTACATAAGCAATCAAATCCACTGAGCAACTTCATGCTAATAGGGGCATTTAACAAATATTTAGACCATATTTGGTGAGAATTGTTCCTAAGCTAGTCCAATAGTAATGGAAGCGTCAAGCTGTCTCAAAGGTCACAAGCAAATTAAAATTGCTTCCCGACATTCAAGCCAAGTTTTTCTGGAAATATTTCTCTCTTTTGGAATAATAAAATAAACCTCTCCCCAAGTCCCGTGCAACAATGTGCTACAATTACTTGGAGTCGATTAGTTTTACCAAAATATCTTAAATTCGAAGGGAATTACCTGACACCCTCTTATTCTTTCAGCTGAATGGACATGACTTGGGTTTCTGAGATATTGCTACAAGAAGTTATCACTACTTTTTCTTTATTGTTCATTGTTATCTTCTTTCTTTTCTTTCTTTCTGCCCCTATCGTCAGTAGTGGGCTCCTTCGCCATCCTTGATAGAAAGTCGAATATTTTGATCAATATCTTGCAGGTTGAGAATTTTCTTCGCAGTGCATCAATCAAGCATGTAACTCTCTTGCTTTTCATTTCAGCCTGAGTGGATGGCCCCTGAATTCCTTCGAGGAGAGCCCACAAATGAGAAGTCCGATGTCTACAGTTTCGGAGTAATTTTGTGGGAGCTCGTGACCATGCAACAACCTTGGAGCGGACTTGGCCCTGCCCAGGTATATTCTTCTTCCAATTATCGTCATCATCATGGACTCATTATCCACAACCACAAATGATTTAACATATGCAATGCACATTGAAAGAGCTATATTTTGACTTTTCTGGGTTTACATTAAATTGTAAAATTTCAGGTTGTCGGGGCTGTTGCTTTCCAGAACAGAAGGCTTGCGATCCCGAAGAACACCTCCCCAATATTAGCTTCTCTCATGGAATCTTGCTGGGCAGAGTAAGGATGTTCCCTACTAGTTAGAATTGCTTTCAATATTTCAAAATTATTATAACAAGGAGTGATAAAAAGGGCATTCATTAGTTTACTTCAAAACTTGCATGGACACATGACACAGACTGAACACTAACACACTGACAAAAAATTTCAAATTAAGCATTATCTGTCACATTGTTTGATGCATCGCATTGGAGTCTATTGCTATTAGCCTCCTTTTCACAATGTTCAATACTTTGATATATCACATGTCCGCTATCTGATATCCTCGTCTCTCTCTCTCTACAGTGACCCTGCCGAGCGCCCCTCGTTTGGGAGTATTGTTGAAACGCTGAAGAAGTTACTAAAATCTCCACTGCAGTTGATACAGATGGGAGGGCCATAAAAGAGTCTTTTCCAGATGGGGTTTAATCCAGGTGAAGCATTTGAAACCCCTAAAGCCGAGTTTTTGGAGTTTGACCATAATACTACACTACTAGCAGAGAAATTCTGGGTATATCTAATTTCTTACACTGACCTGAACCTTGTGCTGTTTCAGAGCAACAAACTCATATATTATGCTTTATCTAACCCATTTGAAAAAGGCTTACTCTCATCTGGCCAAAAGTTTTTAAGTGTAAATGCAGAAAAATTGGATCTCTCTATTAGGGTTTCATCTGGATATGCCCATTCTCCCATATATGTTTTGTTGCAGCTTTTTCTTAAATTTATGAATTTAAATATGATGTAAAAGAATGTTTATTCAAAAGTTGGGAAAGTAGTCTTTTAGCTTTTGATTATAGATTATCTACTATGAATTTAAATAAGATGTAAAAGAATGATTATTCGAAAGTTATCTTATTCGATGGGAAAGTAGTCTTTTTAGCTTTTGATTATAGATTATCTACTATGAATTTAAATAAGATGTAAAAGAATGATAATTCGAAAGTTGGAAACGTGTGTTTTCAGCTTTTGATTATATATTATTTACTTTTTAAATTAAAACAACCTTTTTAACTTCTGTTTACATATAGATTATCTACTTTTAACTTAAAATAAATTAATTGCCCTAAGCTCATTTCTCATGGCAAGTCTGAGTTATTTACAACTTATATTTATAGTGTTGTAATAATGTGATGAAACTCGTGAGATATTTTAGCGCGTGTAAAAGAATTCATTGGAAACTCATTATGCCTTTTTATAGAAATAACAAGAAGAAAATTTGCAAAACACGTGAAAGTTAGTAATTTTTTTGTTTTTTCTTTTTATTTGCAGCTTTCTTAATTTTTATTCAGAAACTGCTCATATATATGATGATGCAGAGTTGACTTAATGTGGTGTGAGTTATATTTAACTCTGATTGATGTATTTTAAATTCGAAGTAATTTTTTAAGGGAAAATTTCTGAGTACGCTACATTTTTGGAGTTCTATTGCATACTACTTACCATTTTGGGCAATAGAACTGATCCAGGTTTTTCCTCCTTAAAATAAATAAAAACTGAATCAAGTTCTTTATGGAACTGTTTTGTAAATTTTATTATATTACTTCGATAAAAGTCTTTTGTCAATGGTGTTTTGCTAAGATATTATGGAATTAATTCAATGTAAAAATTTTAGAGGCTACAAATATAATTTCTCTAATAAAAAAGGCAAGTTCTGTTTATCACTAATAATCTTAGAAGTTTGAGATAAATATTATGATCTAATTGGGAAAAAAATAAAATTAATAGAGATAATACATGAATATAAAAATAATTAATAATAATAAAAAAAATTCAATATAAAGATACAATTATTTCTCTCATCTATATAATTAATGAAAGGCCGATAATATTACATTTTTATCATCTTTTTGTATAACCATCTCATGGTCATGACTGCATTAATTAAGTTGATTCCATCAATGACTATTTCCAAGGGAATTGTGACACAAGATATGGTAAAAAATGTGATCACGTGAACAGCTCGAATTATCAAAATAGATTCCGAAAAGAGTCTAATTGGCTGCACAGCAGTGGCTGCTGTGCACCCCTACACAGCAGCCACCCCAATTCCACAGCAGCCACTGTTGTGCAGCCAATTGGGCCCTTTTGCGGGGTCCACTTTGATAATCTGAGCCGTTCACATTTTAGAATGCATCAAGTAGAATATACCTGTAAAAAATTAAGTTAATCGGATATCGTTTACCCATTCATCCACACACATTTGTATCTACAAAAATAAATAATAATTGTAATTTAAAGTATTAAAATGAATACAAATGTGAGTGGATGAATGGATAAACGATATCCGATTAACTTGATTTTTTACAAGTATGTTTTACTTGATATATTCTAAAATATGTACGGTTCGGATTATCAAAATGACCCCAAAAAGGGCCCACTTGACTGCACAGCAGTGGCTGCTGTGCACCTCGCACAGTAGCCACACCAATTCCTTATTATTCATGAATGACTTTGCCCGGTGGCAGAAGAGAAATGTTATGGGTGTGTTTTGTTTGATTTTGAGCGAGTGATTTTCAAAAAAAGTTTTGGAGAGAGTTTAGAAATTTTTTTGATTTATTTAGTTGTATATTTTGAAAATAATTTTGGAATTTTGAAGTTTGTGATGATTTGATATTTTGTTATAATTGAATAGATGTGTGTGAGAGAAAAGTGATTGAGAATGAGAGAGGAAAGAGAAAAAGTAATTGATTGATATGTAAGAAAGAGAAAGCGATTTTGAAATTTTTTTTAAAAAAATCTCAAACCAAACAATTTTTTGGAAATTTTTTTCCAAAACTCATCTCTCAAAGCTAAACCAAATATTCTACCAAACCTCTCACGTGAGGTAAGACTCGCACAAATTCACATGTGTGTGGGTCACACATTGACTCATACAAATTCACATGTGTGGATCACCCACCAATGTGAGAGGTTTGATAGAATATTTGGGAGTGCCTAGCATAACTCGTGGCAAAAAAGATAGACCCTAAGAATGAACTCTAAACCCAAACATACTGAATACGATCCTATCTAGTATTTCGTGAACTTAATTGATACATGCGATTTGTGAATAATTTTCAGAATTCATAATTTACTTTCTTCGAAGGTTGGGTCCAATGTAGCTTTACCTTGAGAAGTACCTCATTATAAATAATAAAATAAAACAAAAAGAGCAAAATGTAAAAGAATTTACATGTAGGTCTTAATAGGTAAACTTAGGCCTTGTTTAGCAAGAGGCTATTTTAGCCAATTAGCCAAAAAGTTACTAAATTAGCCAAAAACCAACAATCCATACCAAAAAGTCAAAGATTCTCTTTTCTCTCTACTTTTTGTACATCTTTTCGTAATTAGCCAAAAAGTCATCCCAAACATACAAGTTTTTTTTACCTACCTTTTTAGCCAAATAGCCAAAAAGTTACTAAATTAGCCTGTTCCCAAACGAGACCTTATTGTCGAATAGGTCCTGTAAGAATTAATGACGTTTTTCATTAAACACTGTTAAAAAACGTCCCTAATTGTTAATTTCAACGACAGTTTAAAAATTATCACAAAAAATGTCACTAATTATAAGCTTTAGCGACAGTTTAAAAAAATCATCACAAAAAAACGTCAATAATTTTCAACTTTCAACGACAATTTAAAAAATTCGTCACAAAAAAATATCACTAATTGTAAATTTTAACAACAATTTATAAAAACCGAGACAAAAAAGTTCTTAATTGTCAAATTTTAGCGACATGCAAAAATTCGTTATAAAAAATTATTTTTACAGATGATTTTATTAGAACTTATTTTTAATAAGACTTGATAGAAATTAAGTACAACTACTAAGACCTATTGATAGTTTACCCCAAAATAAATCTATGTGAATTAAACTTACTTTTAAGGGAGTAAAATATAATTTTGTTAAACTTGCAAAAACCCATACGTAATTTTTACAAATCTCAAAATAGAATATTGTAATTTACCCATTAAAAAAAAAAAAATGAATGAAAGAGAGTCCTGAGAATACATGGGTAGTCTTGACGAGGTCCTCTCAAAACTTCATCGTTGGGGCAAATAAAGAGAATGAAAGAGAGTCCTGGGAATACATGGGTAGTCTTGACGAGGTCCTCCCAAAAACTTCATCGTTGGGGTTGACCCCGTGCTCCCCACGACAGAACTTCCTATTCGGTGGAACCAAAATACTTTTATTCAATCAAAAATTAAAAAAATATTCAACAAAGGACAGTATATTCAGTACACCAAAGCATGTGATTTTCCATGGACCCTCTAATCTTCAAACATCCCAATAACAAAGCTTCATCATCAATCCAAAGCTCTTCAAATCAGTAATCAAGTTCTTCACTTTTAGTTTAGAAAAAAAAAAAACTTCTTCAATTCGATTGGTGCAGCTTTTAGAATAGATTATAGATCATAGCTTAATACATTAAGATTATAGTTTTGAACATCAGTTTTTAATATGTTTGTTGTAGTAATTAGATTATAAATTTTAAGTTGTAGATTACTATCTCTTTAAATAAGTGTAAAATGACTTTTTATTGTGCAATTATCTTTTTTGCCCTTGAGATTCCAGATTCCAGAGTAGGGAGAGATATAAGTGGGGGGAACTGTTTATAAAGGTGTAGGAGAGGGTTCAAGAAAGGAGTTGGAAAATTCGAAGATCTTCGAAGATCCTTGAAGAACAACTTCGAATTCTCTAGAATATGATGAGAGGCTTAGATTCTTCAATAATCTCAACTTAGGAACACAACAACAAAGGAGATGATGGAGATAATTAGCCCCTCTTACAAAAGGAAGGATAATCAAGTAAATTTCTAATTAAAAAATCTTCCTACACAAGCAAAAAGTTGAAAACCACCCTCTAAGGACATCTCTAACCCTTAGACTCAAACTTGTATCAAATTTAAATTTGAACAAAAATCTTGCAAAACACCTCTCCACTTCTTGACTCAAATTTATATGAAATTGAGTTTTACCCATTTTTTAACCCAAATTAAAGGAGATTCAAATATATACTCAAATTTTTTCAAGACCATTTTGGAGCTTTCAAATTTACCACTGCCATTATTGAAGTTTTACTCAAATTTAAGCTCAAACCTAAGTTTATCCATTGGAATGTCATATCAAATCAAACTTAGATTTTTACTCAAACTTCGATTTTTAATCAAATTTGAGTAAAAATTTAGGAGCCAAAGATGGCCTAACAAACTTTTTAAAATCAGTTTATTTAGCCTCAAATGAGTTGAAATAAACTTAAATTATTTTACAATAGGCCTACATAGACTTAGTTTATTGGTTTTGTAGTAATGCTTGGTTAGTTGGCTTATTGTTTATTGACTAATACCATTCTAAAGCAAGGCAAATACCTAACCTTAAGAAATTGGGAGTGTTGAGCAAGAATTCTAAGGTTGACTCTACTCTAAGACAACTATAAATATACCTTGTTGTATATGATAAAAATATAAGTTGATTCAACAAGGTTGAACTAGTTTGCCCAAAAAGAGAGCCTAAAAGAGAACAAAATGGGAGAGTTCAATACTGAAGTGTCAAAGGTTATGAGGATAAGCAGGGCTGTGTGCCTTTGTGCCCTCCTGGGATTGATTTTTAGTGTCTGTCTGGGCTTATGTTTGAATGTCTGGCCAAGGAATTTGGAAGAAGATAACACAAACCACTTTAAGGATAAATTTGGTGAGTTGGATTTTGTTTCACTTTCCGTATTTTATCTAAATATTCGGTATCTACTTTTTGACTCACTTCTATAAAAATTAATTTGTGTTTCCTAGAAAACAAAAACAAAAATGAAACACAATAAAAAAAAAAAAGTGATAATTCTCATGTCTTATATCCCATTTTAGCTTTCAATCTTATGCCTCCTAATAGACATTTTGAAATACAACTGCGCAGGTCAATCATACAACATTGTGGCAAGGAGGATTCATGATGGCTTCATCACGTTAACGATCAAATTTCTCCATTTCTCCATTGCCAAAAGTCTACAGTTCATATACTTGTGGCCGCTGAAGCCTGTGCCTTCAACTACATCATCCTCCATGCTATTTTGGGTTTCGTTGACTCGATCAGTTTCTTCGATGTATTCTTGATTTTTCATTTGTTTAATCTCTTTTGTAAAGTTCATTCACGCCAAAATTCTGTCCTCACTAGTTGAACTAACACAATTGCATTCACCTCCATGACTCCATCATCATCGGACATGAAAACAGCCCAACATTTCCGCCCATAATTACTTTTATCCAGTCCACTAAAGAAACCTGGACACACATGGAGAGGGTTGCTTCTAATGGAGATAGCATGATTTGAGCCTACTTTGATTCTACGGGTCACATCATCTTCAACCTCTCTCTATTCTTATTAATTAATAGAACCTACATAACAAAATTGCTCGCCATTCGGTATCTCCAGCCTTTCAACCTGAACTTCTCTATTAGTTCTATTTCTATTGCAATTTAAAGTAATATTCTATGTGTTCAATTTCAGTATTACTTAACCACTCAAAGTGCTTGTATTCTATCTAAATTTCTAATTTAGCATTAATTCCTCTTTTTATATCATCCACTATGACAAATATCATTTGCAAAATAGCATAAATCATAAGACATCACCTTAAACGTGTCTAATCAATACATCCATAATTAAGGAAAATAGGTAAGGACTTGAGGCTAACTCTCGGTGTGATCTTCGAGTAATTAGAAATTCATTTGTTTCTCTTGCAAGTGAACTAAATGTAGTCAAAATTCCATTATACATGCCCTTTATCGCATTAATATAACCTCTTTTGTCAATATTTTTTTCTCTAACACCCACCATATTATATCTCTAAGCACCCCATCTTAAGTTTATTTTTTTCTAAATCTATAAAAACTATATAAGCATATTCTTCTTCTTTTTCCTCCGTATTTTTCTATTAATCTCCTTAGGTGAAAATTTCAGCTAAATATTTCACTATGTGAAGCCAAGAATATATAATTGGCTTCACGTGATATGCAGGAAACGGTGAAAATAGAGATCAATTGATAAATTCATAAAATTACAAAGACCATGTATGGCAAAATAGTTGGGGGGGAAAGTGTATAAGCAAATGTTCACTATCTTACAAAACAGCAACTGTTCTTTGGTAAATTGTATGAAAACAAGCTACAACTGAACCGTATGAGAAACAGGATAAGGAAAGAGAGAGAAACCTGATATAGAGAATGTAGAATCAATGCAATTCTACACCATCGAGCCAATTAAGTGCAGGCAATATCTTAACCAGAAATGACATAAACTCTTCTTCAGCGACAACATTCCCAATAATGTCTAATTGTGTCAACTTCGAGTCTTTAAAAATTGTAAAAGCTTCCCAGTAATTTGTCACATTGACACCACTGATTGCAAATTCACCAAAATTCCAATCACTTCCTACCGTATGGGAGAGGGGAGAAGAGCATAAGTACCTTCTTGTGTCGACAGCGTGTGCACCAATTTCATTGTATGAGATATCCAACACTTTCAATGACTTCAGCAGTTTTAAAGGCTCCAGGGCAGAAAAACTACCAATTTTGTTGTTACTAACGTTCAAGCAAGAAAGAAGTTGCATAGCCTGCAATGCTGTCATAAAGACCGATAAAAAGCATTCAGTTACTCTCATTTGAACGATCATTAGAAATGACTTTTAAACATCAAAATGCGCCATGAAACTATCAAGACTTTGACTGGCACCATTTTACAAAATAAAGATGGCCATGCAATAAACTAATGTTGTACAAATGTGTTTATGCATAATATTGAATATGTGAAGACATGATATACAAACATAGACAGATACATACATATAGAAATACAATGAATTGAAAGTCGAAACCACAAAAACATATTCAAATGGTAATACATATACCATGTTTGTGGAGGACTTAATTATTCATTATGGCAAAACGGTAGTAACTTTTTATTGCCTCCAAGTGACAACGAAAAATTTAAAGAACTAATTGTAGTTTACCTTCAATTGAGCTAAGTTGGTTGTGGCTGAGGTCTAGCATTTGGACCCACAGTAATTTCTCAATAGACCCAATACGTGACAATGAAAGATTACTGAGTCGTAAACAGATATAATTATTGGTGCCTGATGATGCTGAGTCCCTGTAATTACAGCAATGCCTCAGCAAAGATTCCGGACTGGAGGTCAGCTGAAGAAGCACAAAAAATATGAGAATCTGTGTTATAGAAAAATCAGCAATCTATATCAAAGGTTTTACGCAAATCTTTAACACTAACTCTCACTAATATTATTGACTAGAGATCTCTCTGGGTGTGTGCTGAAAAGAACTATCAAACGATTCTTACACAAGACATTCACAATTCCAATGAACATAACTATATAGTTAGTTAGATTAATCTCAATAAATAAATTATAATAATAATAATAATAATAACCCATTATATGAACAGATCAGCCACTAAATAGTCGAAATGAGTGTGGTTCTACTTTGAATTCTAGATTAAGTTGTTGAAGGAGCATGCCCATCTGTTTACTTAAATGAGCATGTAAAACAGCATGTCTATAGGACTGCAATACAAGCACAACTATTTAGACTTTGGATGGCTAAAGGGTCACTTGACCTAGTTCTTAAGCAAAATGAGTGAAGGCTTACGCAAGAGCTGAGACAATTTCTTTCAATTTGAGTGTGAAAAACTCTTCACTATGTTGAGCAAAGCCCTCAAACCTAATAACATTTAGATTCTTTAATATGAGGGCATTCAGTAGGTATCATCAGATATCTAATTTGATGCAAGCATGATGAGTGGTGACAACCTCACGTGTCCAGAGTTAGATGAAAGGCTTGTCATTCTGTCATGTGTAACATAGACCAATTTACATAGCAGTATGTAGGAATGATATGATTCAAGTTGAAGGTCACTTTAGCCTAAGAGGGTGTGTGGGTTGAGGCTGTGAGAACATGCCTTTGTATAGGGACAATTGAAGAAGACTATTTCCATGGGACTTTGCCACCTGAGCTTGTTAAATTGAAAACAGATATTTTCATTTTAGGTGTTGTTTTACTAATATATTTTAAACATATTTATGACTCTATATAATGAGCTTTGAGGCATAATTTCATATAAGAGATCTGTGCTGGCCAATCAAGAAATCAATATGTCAGTAGGATATTAAAACCATCAGCAAATCCTATCTGATGGTATTCACAAAATGAGCAGAGACAAACTGGGGTAGCTTGTCTGTTTTGGCCAAACTGAGCTCAAACAATAACAGCACAAATTCAACTGAACTAGAACCACGCACAAGCACTACTCCTTACCTGCTAAGTACAATCACACGGTACACATTTTGCTGCTCAACTCAGATCAGCTTGTTCTTACTCCTAAATGCAATGGTTCAAAGCTCTAGCTCTCCTCAAGGAGACCATGAAATATTAAAGAGACACTACTCATACATGCAGCACAACAATAAAAAATGAACCTAAATGGACTGTGCTTTCCTACACAGATAATATAGAAGAGAAGAGATATTCACCTGCTTTAATACGGCTAAGCTGTATTCATCCTTGTAGTATTGAGAATGTGGTGGGTCCATTGTCATAAGATCACTATATAATTCTTTAACTTCTTCAGAATGGACCATCTTGCATGTCTCTGGAGTTTTATCATATGACATCATTGCATCATGTGCAGTCAACAATCTTGCAAGCATAAGCTTTCCAATTTTACTACAATAACCAGAGGGAGAAAATAAGAGGACATTGGACAAACGATAAAGCTGCTTTGATGCTGCAAAGCTATTCATGAATGAATTCCACATACCAGTTTATCTCTGACAGCAATTCCCGGAAAAGAGCTATCTCATTAACTATAGTCTCAGCGCTCCAATTAGAAGCTGTTGGCTCATTCACCTCACTATTCCTCAGTTGATCAAAAATTTTAATTTGGCTTGGTTCCTGAAGATGTGTTTCACCAGTAAGAAAATTTTCGTCTCCCCATGATATCATCTCTGCACTTTTCATTTCAGCATGTTGTGAACCATGAGGTTGTATAAAAACGGTAAATTCAAAATGAGAAGGATGGCTATGGTGAAATCCACTCAAAGACACGATTCCCTCTGAATGTCCAAGGCTAACCTTTACTGGATGAGCTTGTAAAGAATGGAGATTCTCCTCGTGAAAAGTTAGATATGTTACCCAAGCTTGGGCACTCCCAGAGTTGTTTGTTGAAAGTGGTGACCAAATTAAATCTTTATTTGTGTTATATATGGATTCCACAGTTATTGTAGATGAGCTCACACCTTCAACTGCTTCGTTAAAATAAAGAATGAGTGGAATTATCCCACTATTAAGATGGAAACCTGTGATAGGAGACGAAGCACAAGTATCCAGGAAACCATCTACTGATACATTAAGATTAGAACCATGAGGTGGCCAGGTAGAAACCAGCAGAGGATTCATCACTTTAACCGTTTGCTCAAGAAGCCAAAGATGATAAAACCATCCACTCTGATCATCTGGGTCAGTAAAAAGAGCTTGGTGTACAAGGTCATACTCCTCTGTCAGAACCTTCTCCTTTGAGAAAGATCCTTGAGCCCTTTTCTCCAGTAAATGAGACAAAATTACACTGCAGAACATTCATGGTAAGGTAAAGTAGAATAAAAACAGGAAATATGTTTAAGCAAACAGACATCACAAGGTAAAACATGCACTCAAAGCAACAGGCATGTTTGTGTAGGTTGAAAAAGAAAAACAAAAGGCACAATTGGACAGGAAACTTAATTTTCTAATCCTGCTAGAATAGATAGGATTTCAAAAGGTAGCAGGTGTTTCATCATGAAGTTTCCACTGTAATATTAATGTGCATAAGAATTGTTCATTTGACTCCAAAGCAAATTTGAAGGTCAATCAAGCTACAATTTTATGTAACATTGCATGTCAGATTTACACACATAGAAAGCTGCTTAATCAGTTTACAAACAGAAAATTGCCATTAAAGATTAATCCGAAGTAAACACCATTTGTTTCTTTTCTGGAATTTGTTAGGCTAATGACCATTTAAATAGTGAAGTGCTTATCAACTATTGATATAAGGCCATCTCCAACGGTGCATCAAACCATGCATCAGATTTGAAATTTGATGAAAAAGTGACTTTTTCAAGCTCCAATGGATTCACCAATTTGATATCAAAATGAGAATGGAGCAAACATTTCATCAAACTGAGGACAAGCTCTATATTTCAGTATTTCACTATTCTGGACTGTTGGACGGGGCAACCGGTCAACCAGCCAGATGTCCGGCCGGTTGACCAACCGATCGACCGGTTCCCTTTCAAATAGGTAGGTTCAAACCGGTCAAAAAGGTTCAAACAGGTAAAAAAAAAAAAAAAAAATAGCCTTACCGGTCGACCCCTTCCCTTTTGATGCACGGTTGAAGCAAGCTATATCAGATTGAGAAAATTGACTTATTTTTACTCAAATTTGATGAAAAATTTGGTCCACCGTTGGAGATGCTCTAAGGAATAAAACTAATGAATATTTTTTCCCCTGTCCCACAATGTGCATGAAAGGAGAGAGCATTTTGCAACCTTGCATCACAATATGCCATCAATACAAGTTACATGTTTCAAAGTGGATGTTTTATATAACATCGCATACCATCAATATCTTATCAACATTGCATCACATTACAAGATAACTTATACGATGGTTCAATTATAATTTGTTATTCACAATGTTTATGATGTATCTTATCAAGTTATCACTGATGATGATTCTTTAATTGAATAATTCTTAGATTCTTTTGCAAAAATTGCTTTAGGAAAAATGTGTTGGAAATTTGAAATTAGTTCTAGCTTTGGTCCCGTTAGAAGCAGAATGTCTTGTCGTAGTATGCATAATAATATAGAACATACAAAAAAAAATTGTGGATTTTCAGCGACATAGGGGTTTTTTTTAATGACATTTTAGTTAAAGACAAAAAATTCAAATATCCACTATAAACATGTGACTTATTGTTTATGTAATAAAAACATTCAAAACAGGTCAAGCATGACAGACAGGATTTTTGTACATCTCATTGTAATGCTACAATAACAGCAGGCACCAAAAAAACTTCGGAACCAAACAATGGCACAAAAAACATTTTTCTCCACTAGTCCATTTTAATTATAATGATTCAAATGGTAAAATAACATTGAGATACAAGCATACCTACGATTATGCCAAGAAGAATAGTTACTGAAGTTTTCATTTATCAAATCAGTAGTGAATTGTAGCTCCTCTTCATCTGATCTGTTCTTTAATGCTGCCACAAATCTGAAAATAAAGACCAAATTAGACCATTTGAAAATACAGTCCATCAATATATTAAAGTAAATCAAACCCAAATCTTCACCTCCGGTAATTCCATGCATGGAAATTCCTGGAATCTTTCTTCAGTAACACCCCCAGAAGCTGCAATTCCCGATCTACAGATGAATGCCCCTTGCTTAGCACCCATTTACGATGATACCAGGCACCATAAGACTTATAATTCTTTGCCAATGCACGCTCTGTCTGCATATATATTGACGTCTTTCATAAAATTCAAAATAAATTGAACCCAAACACAACACACAACATAATTACAATTGGCTGCTGAAAAAGCAAAAGAAAAGAAAGCAACGCAATATTTCAAAATCTCAAGATTTAAAATTTTAAAATTTCAAAACAAACTTTGCACTGAACGCAATTAAACCAAATAGCCCTATTTGGCACAGTTAACTTGTGTTCAGCTGAATTTCTTTTTTCTTTTTCTACAGTTTTTCAGCAACCAAACAGCATCAAATACATGGACAGAAAAAGAAATACATATTGTGGTTCCTACAAACATACAACTCTCAGTTCTTCGCTGTAAATAGATTTAATGAAGTCTGGATCAATCTCTGTATCAGTCTCAGAATGACTGAGAATGTGTTCAACAGCGAATTTTCTGTAATTCCAAGCTGTGAGATACTCAGGATTGGCCTCGAGAAGCTTCGCATTGACCTCTAGGGCTTCTTTTGTGTAACTGAACAATTTGCACATACAAATACATGATTGTTCAAAACTATCAGCATACAATTCGAACAAATAATTTTAACTGAACAATTCACGCAATTGACAATACAAATTGAAGATTGTTCAAAATTATCAGCGTTTACATCACACAGTTCAAAATTATCAGTGTTTAGATCACATAGTGCAATACAATACAATTCGAATAAATAACTTTACTCTCGTGTATAAAATCTGAACAATCTTTCGCGTAACGGAACAATTCACACAACTGACAATACAAATTGAAGCTTGATAAAAATAAAAAATATCAGCGTCATAGAGTTCAAAACAACACAATTCGAATACATAATTTTACACTCGTGTGTCAAATTTGAACAATACACAATTGACAATACAAATCGAATATTCTTCATAATTATCACCGTTTAGATGACAGAGTTCAATACAATACAATTCGAAGCATAGATAGATACATACATATAAACGAAGAGAGAGAGAGAGAGAGAGAGAGAGAGAGAGAGAGGATTTACATTTTGTTGTGATGAAAATGGAGGAACTGAGATTGGAGGGGGCGTAGTTTAGCAGCTTTGAGAGCTAAAGCTTTTTCTTCTTCTGGAGTTGGGGCTTTGCGAGGACGACCGTGCATTTTTCGTGCTTGTAGAGAGAGAGAGAGAGAAACCCTATACGTGGATCTGAAAGACGAAGTTTCGAATCAGCAGGAGACAAAGGGACCTATATAGAGAGAGCGGCGAAGAGTGTAGGACTGTCAAAAGCTCGCGACCGAGTCGTGAGAGAACAAGGTTGGAATTTGATCTGTGTCTTCAGAGGTAAGCAAAGAAGTGAGAGTTATGCGACTGGACAATGAATAATAAATAAACAAATTCTAAAGGGGCAAATTAAAAACTATTTAATAAATCTAGGTTAAATAGTAATTCCAATAAAACATTTGAGGAGAACATAAACCTCTCTAGGTTAAATACTATCAAATTTTTATTTTAATATATTTTTTTGGGGTCTTTTAACATCGCATAAAAAATAAAAAACAAAAGTATGAGATGTTGATAATTTTTTTTTTGGTTTTTTGATTTTTTTTTTTTGGCTTTTATTAACCTTGGTTTTGATTGATTTTTTAAAAGTTAAATTTTTTATTTTTTGTATTTTTTTAGTGATTTTTTTAATATTTTAAGTAATTTTTTATTTTCTAAATATACATAACTTAGATGCGCCTAAAAACTAAAATATTTGTAAAAAAATCTTTAACAAATTCATCAAACACAAAAAATACAAAAAAATATCAACATTCAATATATTTTCATATTTTTGTTTATTTATTGAATTTTTTAAATATTTTTTTACAAATATTTTAGTTTTTAGGCGCATCTAAGTTATGTATATTTAGAAAATAAAAAATTACTTAAAATATTAAAAAAATCACTAAAAAAATACAAAAAATAAAAAATTTAACTTTTAAAAAATCAATCAAAACCAAGGTTAATAAAAGCCAAAAAAAAAAAATCAAAAAACCAAAAAAAAAAAAAAACAAAAAAAAAACAAAAAAAAAAAAATTACCATTTCAAAAACAAGAATACCAAACGACCAAAAAAGTCTCAAGTTAAAAAAGTCAAAAAAGTCAAAAAATCAACTAAAAAAGTCATTGCCAAACGAACCCTAAATATAGTTTTCCCTTTGACAAACTATTATGTATTTTATTTAATTTTTTTTTTCTTTAAAAGGAGAATAATAATTGAGTACATCTTTATTTTATTTTTTTTAATCATTGACTAATCTGTATGCATTTCGCAATCAAACAACATAAACATTACGTGATTGCACCTATTTTGGAATACGGCAATGATTGGTGGCCACAAATTTTGTAGTTCAAATTGTCCGAAAATGCCAAAACAATGTCGTTTTGGGTACAAAACAACTCCGAAAATGTCAAAATAACGTCGTTTTGGCATTTTCGGGCCATTTGAGCCACAGAATTTGTGGCCACCAAACATTTTCCTTTGGAATATTAATGATTACTCACTAAATCTAAAAAAATTTGGTACAAATTAATAAATAAAAAATCTTAACATTTGAATCTCATAATAAAATAAATCCTCAATTTTAATTGTGTACTTAAAATTTAATTTTTGGATTTATTTTCATTAAAATATTTGCCTATTTTAGTTAAGTAAAATTAATGAAGAAAATTATATTTTAGTCATTATGCTCAATATAGGTTTACAAAAAATGTCTAAGATATATTTTTTTCCCATTGAGTTTAATAATTAAAATATTTTGTTTTCGTTAGTTTTACTTAATAAAAATATATAAACAGCTTAGATTGAAAATAAATCAAGTGACTATGATTTAAATTGATAAAATTAAAAATTTATAATTTATTCTATTTTAAAGTTCAAACTCTATAATTTATTTTATATTTTTTCTAAAATTTTATATTGTTTCATTTATAGAAAACAAGACATGTTGATACCAGCACAATAGTCCTTAGGTCTTTGAGTATTTTTTTCGCTTTTATATTCATAAGTGAATGAAGGTAGTAACCACATTTTTGGAAGTGTATGACGACATGAACTGCCTACACGTCTCAAAGAGATTGCTGATATAAACTATTAGACTCAAGATATATAACTAATGTTATGTTTTCATATATCACAGTAGAGGTAGGGCTATTTATAGACATGTAAAAGAGATTATTCACTATGATAATTTAGTTGGGTTATGTGGTTGAGTTGATTTAATTTAATTTTTTGAGTATGTTGTATGTGGTTTATTGTACTTTGTAAGACCATAATATTACTTTATCTACCTTATTTGATGCAACCTTTCAAATAAGTTGCCCGTGATATGAAAATAGTAATACAACTTCTGAGGGAAGGGCACCAGGCAAGAAGAAACACATGCATGTTAGCAACATATTGAGAGGGGTGCAATAAGAGACATAGGAGAGATATACAAACATTAAATGTATTGGTGACTTGTCTAGTCATTTCTTTATTAGCTATGTTATGCATATTGCTTAGTTCAATCAGTTTGTTATTTGTGGCTTGTTGTACTTTGTAAGGCCATGATATTGCTTTATATACTTTATTTGATGTAACCCTTTGAATATGTTGCTCATGATATAACAATAGTAGTGTGGGGAAATGGTTTTTGGAAATACTCTTACGATCCTGGGGGACGCTTGTGATCCACCGATAGGCACCTGAAAGGAAGTAAACACTCCGGTCGGGGGTGCCGGAATTAGCACTCCGACGGACAAGTCAGTCTCTCGTTCTAGATTACTTGTATTCTAAGTTAAACACCACAATTATCACATACCTTTCTCAGTCTGCTATTCCTTTATTTATACTCGTTCTCTGGGCCTCGGGGCCAGGTCCACTTTTCACTCATTATGTTCATATTTACCCGGCTCCACAGCTTAGTACCTATTCGGCATATTTTGTAATAAACCGATCTTCACTCGGCCTCTTGCTTAATCGACTATCTAGCCGAATAAGGTTGGGTCCGAGTTTTCGTGGCAATGGCCGAATGTTTAGAATCTTGATTCTTCAATGTTTGACTCTCCGGAATCTCTACAACTTCCAATATTCGGCTCCCACAATTGCCCCCTAAGCACTCTTCTAGCAGCAGTTGGCTGGAGTGTTTGGCTTTGAACTCGAAGGGTCAGAGCCGAAATTCGACGGTTGATCCTATTCCAACGCGAATGTCTGTCCACACGCTTCTCAGTTATCATTTCAACTTCCTGCTTCTTCGTACACTCTCATTTATTGTGATTTAAAATTTCGACATCTTTTCAAATAGGTACACGCTTTTAGACGCCCGTCGCTGGATTACCTTTCGAACTACCTCTGCGACCTCCTACTCTTCTCTACCTCTTTCTCCACTTGTAAGTTCTCTCATTCTTTGCTTTGTTTTTTGGGGCCTTATGATTTTGCTTTTGCAAGGAACGATTTGAAGAAAATCTTGACCTCAACTAACGATGCCGTCCTTTCAAAAATCAAGACTACGCTCAAGTACTTCGGCCAACAGAGTCTTCAGAAGCAGGGGAGGGCGGCCCACGTTCTGCTCCCCTATGAGCCGACTTATACGACCTTTTCGGGGGCAGAAAATATCCCAATTTCGATCGGTGAGGAGTTTCTTGTCGCCCGTATCTTGACTGACTTAAAAAATTTGAGGCTAGTCGGCTGCGAGGAATCAGATTCTGAGCGACCGGAAGTAGCTAAGGCCACCGAATCAGACGAAGCTGAAACAGAGGTTGACGAGGCTTTGAAATTAGCATTTGAAGAAGCCGACCTCAATTCGGCTGATAATCCGTCCACTTCGGGTCGAGAGGACCGTCCACTTGACGATATTTTTCAAGGTCTGGAGGATCTTCCCGGCGCGTACCCAGAAGATGTGGCTGGGCCGAGCCTCACTAAGCTTGCCAAGAAAGCGAACGCGGAAAGGCTAGCTGCGCAGCGGAGGGCGGAGGAGATTCAGGCTGCCGAATCTCCGTCTCAATCTCAGTCCGTCGTGCCCGTTATTGAGGAAGTGACGGCAAAAGGAGGAAGCACCAAAACGGAACCCTTGGTGCAGGCCAGTGTAGAAGCTGAGCAAAGGGTGGAGAAGCGCCCTGCCGATGTCGAGGCCGGCTCAAAAGAAGATCGCGCTGACAAACGGCCTCGCTTGGAGGAATTGGATGTGATTATACCTTTTGTTATTCAGCCAAAGATGAAAAATACGCCGATCTTCTCCGATGCTTCAGTAATCAAAGATCCAGCGGTTGTACTTAGTTTGGCGACGTCCGTTTCACTACCTGCTGATAAGGCAACTTTTCGGGCAGAGCCGAATCTGGTTGCAATTGCGTTGGCCGCGCAATCGGCTCTTTTGGTACATATCTTGACTTTGTCTTTTCTCTTTACACATTATTTTGGTTTTAACTTCCTGTTTTGCAGACCGTCGGAAGGATAGCTGACATGGGCCGTCGTTATCATGATGCGGTGGAGCAGATTGGCCGTTTACAAGCGGAGGTTGAGGGCCAAAGGAGTAGGGCGCAGATCGAGGGCACTCGTGCCGAGGCCGAGTTGAAGAGAGCTCGCAATGCTGAGGATTTGAGATCGATCGCTGAGGAGAGGGCGAATGCGAGCGACGCCGCGTTTAAATTGGCCCAGGAGGCGAATTCTAAATTGAAGGCTGAGTTGGAAGAGATGAAGGCGGCGAAGGAAACAGCTAACTTGAAGGTTTCCAGTGCATTTGATGCCGAGAAAAAATCTGCTTATGATGAATACGTAGATGAAGTCCCCAAGTTTGAGAATCGGGGCTTTAAACACGGCTGGCTCAAAGCCCTTGCTGCCGCTAATGTGTCTTTGGCTGCGCCAATTCCATATGAGCAAGTGGATGTTGAGCCACTGGAGTCTGATTCTGATGGCTGATTTCAAAGGCGCTTGTTTTTTGTTTTAGGATTTGCGTGTATTTTTCAGCTTTTTACAGTTTTTTGCTTAGTAATTTTCATATGTAAAATGATTACAATTTGTGCCCAATTTACTTAATGAAAATTCATTTTGTACCTCGGTGTTACTAATGAATGGAATTACTTTGGGTCAAATGTTGTATAATTGCCGACTAAATGATTAGGACGTTTTAAAAGCTAGAAATTGGTGAATGAACTGGCTGCGGCACATATCGATCAACATGAGGCCAGGGTACGTGGCCGGCTAGATTAATAAATCTGCCCTTGCCCCAGGCAGTGCATGAACTTCAAAGGCATTGATCAAAAATTGCCGTTTAGATAGTTAGGCCGTTTTAAAAGCCAAAAATTGGTAAATGAACTGGCTGCAGCACATAT